CTGCAAAGAAGTTGCTGCTCCATCCTAATCAGGGGCATTCTGCAGCGCAACATTAGGAGCACAGAAAAGGCGTGGAGGGGCTTGAAGCAGAACAACGACTGCAGATGTGGCTGCTCGCCGTGGACGATGGAGCAGCGAAAGAAGAAAGCGTGCAAAATGGTCTGAAGAGTTAACGTACACTACTTGGTAGTAGACAACGCAAGGACCCAGCAGCAGGAGAACAGAGACTGCCAGGTGCAGCGGCTCCGGGCCAGTCATCAGTCGCCCTCCACAGCAAAATATATTCTCACCTTCCCATGCTGAAGCATACCCATAAACAGCCAACCAAAAGTCTGTATCAATACTAACGAAAGCTCGTAAACGCCACGTGGCAGTGACACGGGCAAACAAGTGCACACACGAAGGGCCAGCCAAGAAGCAGCTGGCTTGGCCAAGGCATTAGGTGCACACTTAGGTGCCGCATGAAAATAAACAAACGTACACTCGTACAACCGCTGCTGGCCAAAGAGGCGTCCTCGCTGTAAAGGCACCTCAAGCAGCAGTTGGGGCAGCGTCCGCTGCTGTAGTTGCGGCCTATGCGCTTCATCCCCAGTACTCTCTACCTCTGGTTGAGCCATCAGGATGCCTTTCAGAGGACAATGAAGCGGCTTGCCTTCGCTGCCGGTCACTGTGTACTACTGCGAAGGCAGTGGCCTCTGTCTCCGCTCCACTGGGGCCCACGTGCTACTTAGAAACGAAACGCATGCAGTGTTATTTCTTAATCGCTCAGGCTCAGCTGCAGGTGCAACGTGCATCTCTTGAATGCTGTTGAGGTGGAAGACAAGCGGGGCCCTTCAGGGCCCCCAACTGCTGAGTTGTTGTGGCCAACTGTGTGGCGTAACAAACGGCTTCTCTGTTGTTCTTGCAACAGCTGAAATGCTGATTGAATCAATTTTAAAAGAGTAACCAAATAAGTCCATTTGTACGCTCCAGCTCTCACTCTGTCACCAGAGACGGGGGCCCCCGAGCAACACGACTGGAGCGGGGCCACCACAGTCGCTCTGTATGGAGGAAAGAGCAACACTTCACCAAAGCGCCTTTGCTGGGCATTCAAGTGTATTCTCTGGTCCTTAAGGGTGCCATTTTTATTTCTGACTATTGCTTTTGAATATTTACAATTTTGCCTCTACTGAACCACATCCTGCATACTGTCGTGACCATAATACAGAATCCGGTATAGCTGATTTGTCTGAGAAGAGCCTTTACAAGCAATCATCAAATGAGCAACAGGGTGTGTGCAGGGATTCGTACTGTTAGTATGAGCTTAATCGTCGGTTGAAAGTGTGCGTGGGCATTTGGCCGGGCTCGCTTGCTTAAGATTGAGCGCGCCGTCGCAGGCTAGCTTTCACCACAACTGCTGCGTTCTTCTAAGGTCTTGGGTGTTGCACAGCGGTATATCACTTCAGATGACATACTAGTTGATTTTTAAATGAGGACTTCCATTGATTACATGGTTAAGAACTGCCATCTGGGGCCAACAATCGCTGCAGCTAATAGTTCCTTCAAAGCGGTAAACCAGTTTGGGGTCCTTCAAATGTCGCTATAGAACTTAGTTATCTTTTTTGGCTTCGAATCCCCTTGCTTTCACTCTTAAGTGTTTCTCAAGTGGGGGCCCCACTTGCACGTTGCTTTCTGGCACTTCTGTGAAGCAGCGGCACAAGCCTGAACTTAGCATACGTCTCCATGTAAATCCTAAACTAACTGGCGCGTAATGAACTCTTCTTGATGGGAGAAATACCCTAGAGTAGCAACTTCAACTAGATAGACCGGTTCCAATCACGCTTCTAGGTGTACTGGCCTGTGCAGATATTATCTTACGTGCTTAGCCGTTTGCATATGGCTGAGATACGAGCTGCTCCCTGTTAGTTACTCACCCACGCATATGTTTGGCCGAGGCTCAATTACTCTAGGCTCTTTTAATGAGAGCATTACAAGGCACAACAGGGTCGAACGGCACTGTGGCCGTGGAAAGAACCAGCACATTGTCAAAAACGAGCTTGCTCAGAGTACAGGAATTGGCCACCTTAGCTTTGGGCTAAGCATGCTTCTAAAAAGAAGAGCTAGGGACCTTTATCCGCAAAACAAATGCTTTAGTCGCAAAGGGGATCCCTGCAATATCTCTCGGCCACTGACGCGGACTCACTATATGCACACTTTAAAATACTTTTGTGTGCAGTAGTATGCACGCACAGAAAGAAAAAACGGGGACGGTTCCAGCGCGCCGCTGTTGTTGCGTGCTTGGTCGGGCAAGTGTTGCTCCATGAACTAAATTTCTAACGCTGTAAGCCAAACATTGGCTAAAATGTAGGCCTTCAGTATCATTCTGGCCTTTTTGTGCCCCCCGTGCCTTTAGTACAAGGGAACGGCAACCAAGCTCACCTCTGTGCAGCAGAAATAGTCTTAGTTAGCTACTATAGCGCCTTTTATATGCTCATGCACCACCACTTAATAGATGGAATGACGGGCCGAAACGCAAACAGACGCCGAAGGGCTGTAGCCACGTGGGCTATGAAGCGTTCTTTTATTGCAGCTTTGTCGTGATGTGGACGTAAAAGACCATAGGTTTCTATGAGGCATCCCATAAAAGCCCACAAAAGCCAAATACTGCTCAGAAAAGTACACAAGATGTGTGCAGGATGCTTGTCAGTGAGGGCGAGAGTGATGTTAATGCTGTGGGAAGCGGCGGAACCCCTGAGACGTCCTCTCGTTCTGCTTCATCGAAAGCCGCCACCTCTCCTACTACTGTCCCCGAAAATGATACATTTAGTAAATTTTTAGTAAGTAGTAGTTTAGTAATTTTTAGTCAAAAGGACCTATGTCCACTTTTAAAGCGTTACCTGCGATGCCTTCGGCGGTCCTGACTGGAGCAAAGGGTCACTCCACAGTCAGTTTGCTGCCTTCTGTAACCAAGCAAATGTTTAAGGAATTATCACCAGGCGGGTGCGTAACTGCTCTAGAGTAGTGGAGTCTTTCTCTGAAAACAAGTACTCTAGAGGCTTCTGAAAACAAGCACGCTAAAGGCCTATTTTGCATGTATACAACAATGGTAAATTAAGGTGCCAAAACTAGTGTGGCGTAGCTTCATAGTATTAAGAGCGCAATATAAAGCGAGGGCCCTAAACCATATTGATGCAGTGTTACATGCAAACAAAAGGCGCTACTGGTGCACCACTGAGACAACCTCCTGAGACAATTCAACAACAGTCCACTTCACACACCACTATAGCTGCATAATGCATTCCAGACACTGGCGCACGGTGTAGTTCCCCGTGGGCACAGCCTAGAGCCAGATGGATAGCTCTGTCGACTTTAACCGTAGTTTTGTATCATGAACGCTCTGTCGTTCACACTGCATCTCGTCTTTATGTCAATAGGGTTTCTTATACATGCAATAAACTGCGTGAAACGCAACAGAAAGTGTACTCGGCTGGCACTGAAGCTCGAAGACGCAGAGGAATTCCTTCTGCCATATTCCCTCGCTGTAAAATTTGAATCCCACACTATTGTCTCTTAACCTTTTTCCTCTGATCGCCGCCTTGGCCTTCTTTCTTCCTTGATGAAACTTCCTGTAGTTATTGCACTGCTATACTCGCGCCTTTACCTGCTGGTATTTTAGCCCACATGAAACTTCTACTTGAATCCACAAACACAGTAAGAGCCTCAAGAAGCACACAGAAGCCTCCATCTAAGAAATTCAAGCAATGATAAGAAGCTATTGGGTCGAAGTACTGAAGCGCAAGAAATGCAGGGATGTTAAACGAATGTAACTGAATGCGGGGCTGTTTTTTCAGTGTAACTTACATACTCTACGATGGCGCTGCCACATGGAACAAGCATTTAGGCCACGACACGCCAGGGAGGCTTATCGGTGACGAGAAACGTCACCTCGACTGTTCCATGTGCATAGGATTTCTCTTGGCTCTGCATGCGTAGATGCCCGTTCCTGGCTGCATGGCAGGACTGCAGGCGAATGCTGCCGTGCAATGATCCTATTGCATCTGATAATATGCGATGAAAACGTACAGCTACAAACGTTGGCATTTGCTTTTCCAAAGCCCTCTGTAGCTGAACTTGCTTACTCGTAAGGCTCATGGTTTTCCAGAGAGCTCCCTGGAATGTAGCGGCTGCTTTCCACTGCTCAGGGGTCTCCGAGGGAAACGAAAATCAGGATAAACAATTAAACCATCTACATTTTGCGAATATTACCTGTGTGGTGAATACGGAGAGTGTAAGTGACCGCTAGAGACTTCCCCTGGTGAAGTAGCCGCCTACGCTACATAACTTCCGGTTGCCGCAGCTATATTGATTCCCTGAGCAGCTAACTCACAAGCATTTTAGTATGCTACTACATACCAAAGTACCTTTTTCAAAGAAAGAAAAAGGTATAGCGACCTTATAACAGTAGCGACACTCCACGACGGAGTCGCCGCTCCCACCAAGCTGCTTGCAGTCCACAAGCCCTAAGCAGCTTGAGAAGCCTCGCTACGACAAGCAAAGCAAAATTGCGAAACTCCTGCCGTTATTAAACACTGTGTTGGCGTATACAAGCACGTTTCCCGAGAAGTAGCCTGTTTTCCGTTTAACTCCAGCAACAACCAGAATCTAGTTGGAGGGGCTCGCGCTAGACGTTGACGCCCGCTGCAAACGTGAAAGTTATGTTCATTTATTTTTGTCCGCGCGCAATTCACTACACATTTTTATTGCGAGTTTGTGCCTTCGGGGAGCGGGACAGGCGCTGGGCCCTGGGAGCTCCCCCCAGTGCGCTGGCGCTACATGGTTTTGACGGTCTGTCACTGCTGAAGGTTTCTGGCCAGCGGGCTCCTTTTGCAGAAAACATGAGACCGTGTTACGCCATCGCATGGAGTGCTGTCTGAAGAGTAGTTGCAGGGGCGCCCAGCAGCCCCAGCGGGATCCATCACACCAAACCGATCCCACGCCGGCTGACTCTGCTGCAACACAGGATGCCTCAAGAGAAAGTGGGGCCCACCCCGCATGATAATGAGGGCCGCTTTGAGCGCCATGTATCTGAGACTCCTCAGAAAGCTGAAGCTCTGTGTCCGGTAAATTCAAAGGGTCCTAGGCAGACTCTGGTGGCAACAACAGAACTTGCACGAACAAGAATGCTGCAGCCACAACAGTCGCTGGGGGCCACTGAGTTCTGTAGACAATATGCGTTGGCTGGTCAATGTAGCTGTGCCGGAAGTAGCCCTGGAGCTGGGACACTTTCATGTCGCGAGGCGGGGGCCCTGCACGCGGAGCGGGCCCCACGGGGCCATGAACTAGCTCTCAGAAATGTCATCGATCAAGCTGACTGCGCCGGCAAAGACTCCAGCAGCAGCAGCAGTAGCAGCAACGGGGACGTGCAATCCTCACCTAGGAAAGCTCACGGGCCCCTTGTGTTTTGCACCGTTGGTGCCCATAGTCTGCCTCCCAGTAAAATAGCTGCCCGAAAGAGCCCCGCATCGGCGCCGGCATCGTCACCGCAGCAGAACCAGCAGAAGCAGCAGCAGCAGCAGCAGCCGAGCGATTCTCCCTGTGACGCACCACGGGGAGTAGAGGACGCGAAGTCTGGCGATCGATGCACAGTTTGCCGATCTCTCAAGGCCAAGGCTCCCAGTGGCTTTTTCGTAATGCAGAATGCTGGCTCTTCATGGGGCCAACTGCGCATGGCGCCATGTACAGAGTCTTGTGAAGGGTCAGGAGGGGCTGGTTGCTCTCCGGATATCCCCGGAGGTCAGCGGAAAGTGCCCAGTTGCGATGACTGTCCATTCATGATGCCTGTTGGTGGACCACGTGGAGGCGGGCCATATCACTTGCTAAGGCAACAGCAGCAGAAGCAGGGGGAGTTTGTGGCAGGAAGCCTGCAGTGGAGTCAGCCCACGTCGTTTTGGCTTGTGGAATCGGCGAGGGATGAGGGGGTTGAGAGGGAGTTTAGGCGGCTTTTCAGGATCAACTCACCCGTAAGATTAGTTTCCCTTTGCTGGTTGCTTGGCGTGGACGAGACTCTTTGCCGGTCTCTCAGGGGCTCTGTGAGCGTAGCGGACTGCTCATGGCGCAGTGCTTGAGGCGCAGGGGTTTACAGAGTTTGCTGTGCTTGCGAAGCAACGAGCACGCGGCATAGGACCTGGTGCAGTTCAGTCGTTAATTAGTATAATTTTAGATGCAGTAAGGCGTGGCGGTATCTTTTGCCCCTGTTGGAGCTCTCAGGAATCACGCATCGCCTTATCGTCTTTTCGACTGCTAGTGACATTCGTTGTGGTGCTTGCTGCGTTGAAATATGGAATTAGCACATATTTCCCCCCAGCCAGAAAGGTGGGTTCCAGCGTGTGAGCAGTTCCCTTCCATCGTAGATCTTTGTGTTGCACATAGGTTATGCTGTTACTACCTCATATTCTTCTGTCGTGTCGGAATTTGTTTTTGCGCCTGCAGACTGCATTTATATGCTTGTTTTGCGCGGACGTGTTGTTTTGGTGTTTCTTCTCATGCGAAACGGCTCTACGTGCCCGCGCGATGGGGCTCAAGCGCTTTTCGCAGGACCGGCAGTGTCTGTTTGACACGTTCCTACAGCTGGTGGGACTGTCTGCCATTTTTCTTCGCGTCTGCATCCTAACAAACGTTTGCGGCTTAGGGATGCGCATCTTCGATCCAGATTCTTTGGAATGGAAAATTGGTATAGCTAACGAGTTCATAGTCGGAGACGTTCAGATTGCCCTCGTAGTGAGTACTGCAGACCCATGCTACCACTTCTCGGGAATTTGTCCTGCATATCTTGCCATGCTATGCGTAGCTCAGAAGATATGCACGCCTCTGAGTAAGGTAGCCTGCGGGCTATGTTACACCTTGAGAGCGACACTATTTGTTACGAAAGTAGGAGGCCCTTTTAAGACTAGTGGAAACAGGAGATTGGCTCTGTTGCTTCTTGATGGCTGTTAATTTCAGGCTCTGGACACAGTGCAGCTCGCGCGCATATACCGCCTCGCCTTCTCCTGCAAAGAGCTGTTTTTCCTTACGAGAAGTAAATTTCCCGACATGAATGCAATTACTGCATTCGCTTACCCTCATGCATATGCCTTAGTGTGCATTTATCAGCTCAAGGCTATTTGCTCGTGTGGTGTTTTGGATGGTCGCTTCAGGCATCCTTCACAGCCTCCGGTCCCTCTTATGGACAGCGTTGTTCGTATTGGTCGTCATCTACACGTGTGCGATCTTCTGTACCTGGGCCTATTATGTGCGTAGCTTTCTCGAATTTCATCCTCCACATGTCTGGGGAAGCTTTTGATTCGATTGATAGCAAACTACAGAAGAGTCATTAATCGCGTATAGGCAAAGCTAGGGAAGGGGAGATTACAAGTCGCCTGTGTGTCCACGAAAGGCGCGAAAGGTAGCTGAAGAACCTCTACACAGTTAATGCTTCTACAATGCTTCTACAGTATGCTTGCGTTCATAATCTCAGGATGAAGATGACGCAGAGATGCGCCTGCTGTGGGGAAACTTAGTGCTGTCCATGTTCACTCTGTTCACGGTGCTGACTCTTGAAGGCGAGTCTACACGGTTGGGGGTGTTTGTGGTGACAGTCTTGCTGGGAGCGGCATTAACGAGAATGCTAGCCAAGGTGGCTCCTGCTCGCCAGCTTGGCCTGTTTAACGGCAGACATGTAGTGCGCTTTGAAATGATATGCAGGCTGGAACAATGTGGCTACAGCAACTGCTGAAAAACATCCTTTTAGCCGTATCTTCTTCGTGGCGTATATATGCTTCACGACGCTCACCCTACTGAACATTGTCACAGGTGAGCAGCTGAGCGCTTGCATGCAAGCCGGGTTTCAAATTAACAAGCCTGACGAGAATTTTTCGTTGAAAGTAGTGCAGTGTTTTAGAAGCAGCGCAAATGATAACAGAGTAGTACTCATTCGCCATCCTACTTTTCTTTTTGCCGTGGTAATGCTAGGCATCATTCTCGACGCCTATGTGGACATGTCTAATCGGCTTTTAAAAGAGGCGAACTACAAGGATGACTTGGAGAAAGATATTCAGAACGAGAAACTTTTGTTATCAGCCTTCGAGAAGACATCGTTTCTCGTCTGCATGAGGCCCGCAGTATCAGTATCAACGTTATCTTCTCAGGGCAGTACCTTCACCTATGCGAATTCAGATCATGCAACAAGCGGCTCTGCATGTGCAGACTCAGGACAAGATTACATCATTACTACACATCTTAGAGAAGGCGAAACTCTAACCCCTTGGCGCCACGGGGGTGCCAGCAGTAGCATGGCCACGCAGTCGGCGGCTTCTGCGTTGCAGAGCCCCAGAGCACCGATGTGTGCAGCGGGTGCCTATTTTGAACGGAAGCTAACGGGAGTTGCCAGCGAAGACAGCACGGCTCGTCCATCGACAGAAGGCGCAACAGACTCTGAAAACCTTCAAGCCCGAGCTCACCTGCCGGATAACCTGCATTTGGATGGGATCAGCGTTCGCACGTGCTTGAAATACTTGCGGATCGGAGGACATCAACCCATGGACATTCTTCGTAATCCAATCGTACAGAATGCACTCCAGGTCGGAAGTCTGCAGCACTTCGGCCACATCTTTCTGACGCGTGCATTTGCTTGCGTTTCATTTCCTGCTTGGATGGTTAGAATTAACAAGCTCGTTTCATTTTTCACTTTCTGTTATGACTCAGGAGGCGCGTATCCCCTTTTATCAGGCGTTCGATGTTCTTAGCATGTACCATCAGCGGGGCATACAGTTTGTCACTGGTAGGCGAGTTATTGTCGTACGAGTTGCTGCTTCTTCCAAGACATTCCAAGCGAACTGTTCAATTGAATACGTTTTTTTGTGGTGCTCACGTGTGGAAACTTATGTGCTTAAAGGTTGTTTGCCCTCTGTTGTGGTCATTGCAGTCAAGGAATTCGCTGAAGCTTGCAGTCGAGTTGTTGGGTCGGCTACAGGTCGACAGCTGCTGCAAGTGCAGCTAGAAATTCAGCAAAAATTGTGTGCTGTTGAGCAGTGCCTCCGGTCCTTAACTCGCCAAAAGAATATCAGGCACAGCTACAGCACAACTTCAAAACTCGACTCGTCGTGACATAGTGCGTCCACCAAGGAGGGCAGCCGTGACTATCTTCAACGAGACTCACCGCAGCAGCAGAATGCTGGGTACAGCGTATAGTTTTATGGAAAGTGAGGCCAAGTGCGCCTCCATCTTTGCGGTTCTCTTTTTTGCAGTCGAACGGCCGTGTGGGCGTGTTAAGGTTCCGAAATCAGCGAACGCGGGTTTTCTGCAGATGAAAGAAAGATCCCAGAGTGTGATCAGCCGCTTCTGTATTTTCTGCCACGCATTACCTGTCGCAGTTGCGAGGGATCGCGGGTGTTACTCACGTTAGCTACTCACGGAAGCCTTAAGGCACGCGACGTTATATCGTGAAGTATCGTAAACGCTCCTTACGCCAAAATCTCATAGTTACCCACTTATTCCTTGGTAGGAATAAGTAACAAATGCTATCTTCTACCATGGATCATTTAGATAATAATTTGATGTCGGATTCCAATTGCATTTTTCCATGAGGCCTTTAACTACGACGAAGGGCAGGCAATTTGTGTTCTCTTTTGCCCTTCTAAGGTTCCCACTAGTCACGAGGATATGTAACCATGATTAGCGTTCTTCTGCGACATGTTGTGTTGCTGCGGAGTGATACGCAATTGTTATAGTTTTTTTCATCGTTGAGAGTAACACTACGAATTAACGTCAAGCTGCAGCGGTGCACACGAGGCCCTGAGCGGTTCCGGAAGGTGAAATAGGAGATACCGGAGCAAGATGCAGAAATGGCATAGTACGAGGGGAAGCCAGAGCACCGACAGTGCTCGGAACTTGGGCCTTGATCTGTCAGGCTGCTCCTTGTGGCTGTTAGCGGCCCTGTAGTGGCCTAGATACACTGCGGCGTCATTGCTATGAACAAAGTTCAGCTCTGCTCAAGGGGTGTACATCACTTCTGGCCTCCCAACTGATTTGTTCGATCTAGGTAATAGGCGTATTCTTGCAGGCCTTTAGAGTGCATTCAAGATAGGCAGAAGCAGAGGTAGGCACCGAACGGACTTCGTGAAGTACAGGTACTGGCCGTACGGGGATTTATTCCTGATAGTTCAGTTGGCACTTTTGGGGGACCAATGACAAAGTAAAACCGCGGGTTGCGTCGAAGGTACACATGAACCTGCGCAACGGGAAGCTTTTCGGTATAGGGCTGCACCGGATGCCCAGGACACACGGAACTCGTTGACACGGCTAACGTGCCTGATGGTGCAGAAAAATTAATTCCTCTTGTATTACTTTACATAATCCCCGTAGGACAACTAAAGACTGAAGAGACCGTATGCAGGGCGACAGCCTAAGGTTCCACTACTGCGTGGAAAGGCTGAAAGCATAGGCAGGTCTACGTCACTAAAATCTATACGACAAAGTAAATGTGCTCTGTGGAGCCGTTGACGGTGAGATGTACTTCTGGTGGAGACGTACTTCACATGCCGCCCCTTGATTGGACTCTGGCTATCTGTTGGTGGTTCACCAGATTCACTAGACGTGGTTCGTGCACCACCCTTAGATGTTGATGGTGGAGTTGAGGAACTGAAACCAACAGTTTGGCTGCGGCCCGCTGAAAGTTACCGTATTTCCATTCCCAGTCAAATATGGAATAGTCATGAATCCACGAGGTCTCAAACAATGAGGTGTACTTGAGAGCGTGCTGTACCTGTGACGAGAGCTACTGTGTGAAGTGCAGACTAATGATGGCTGAGGCTCGCTGCTTAAGATAGGCATGACTGCAGTCATTCGCGTGGAGTTCGCTAGCCACAAGTGAAGCGAAAATGAACGCTGGGGCTTCCTGTGGTTTTGTTTGTCCGGCTTATGTATGACGGTTACGGTTTAGAGCTCGGCAGCTTCTCATGCTGTGTGTTTTCACCTAAACCAACAAAGCACTATTGCCATTTGATTGTGCTGCGTCACGGGTAGTGATCTGATGCTGTACTGAATGTCATTGAGACAGCCTTGTGAGATGAATTTCCTGTGGTCCGATCTTCCGCTAGATTCGCTTAAATGACATATGGGTGGCCGGTACTTTACGTCTGCTAAGCTGAGAATCTACGAGTATATCACATGCTTAGATCTACCGAGATTGGGCACTAGTAAAATTGGGAAGTAAGGTACCCCGTCAGAGATACCAAGACCAGAGACCTCTTTAAAGCAACCGTGTGATATTCTGTAGAGACATGTATCCAGAAGTGTGTGAAAGGGGCTGCTACAGGCTGCTGCTTGACAAGTCTCATGCGAGAACAAAGGCGAAAGCGCCAATCAGGGAGTCAGTACAGCAAGCATGTGCAGAGTTAGGTAATCACCGTAATCCGATGCAAGCGATTTACGTCACGCTGACTCAACCCAAAGTGATAATCCACAGAAACACAACTCCATGAGGTGCAAGAGGGACCTCCGTATCTGTACTCGTGTTCCATAGCAAGACTGCCCCTATAAAAGTTAATGTGAAAGTCTCCACAGTTGCCATATACGTTGAAGACAACGACAGTTGGAGTGGCCCTTACTTCGCCTGCGCATTAGTTGTTTGAAGGGTGTCTACAGTCCAATGAAGCCTAGAATACACCTATGGCTATATTCGATGAATTATGGGAACACCGAGTAGTGCTTCTCGACGTGCTACCTGCCGGAACGCCTGCCGAAGTGCCCCTGTTTTGCTACAAACACTGCGCTGTTTATCTTTTGGCATGCGATCAACTTAGTTTCCGCAAACGGGAGACAGCTGAACTGCTTGATACTGTATGGGTAGGCAGCACTTCCTTACCGATGTGTGCTCGAGCAATTAAAGCTGAAAAGCAAGGTGAGAGGTCCTGCGAGTAGAAAATGAGCGTGGTGGTCTATTGTCGAGTGCTAAAAGCCTCTGCCATCTCCCTCGACTCCTTGGCTCACTATCATACAAAGATAGTGAGCCAAGGGACTATGAAGCCGGGCACAGGGGTACTGCGCACTTTCGCTACCAGTCAAGACATAATAAAGCAGAGTTGAAACATGGCGGCTTCCTCGATGGCTAAGCGAGATTGCTAGGCAACACCCACATAGTGCAGGCCCCCTGTGTGCACTACCAGGAAAGCCCAACACCTTTACCTGCGCGAGAATAAAGGAAATGTGAAAACAAATGGCACGGAAAAGGCCCTTAAGCCGGCCGCGCAGTCTTGCGCAGAGACAACATCTGGAGCAGGTAAGTAGTCAACACCTTCCTGCGAAATGAAAGTTGGGGTCCACCACGCTGCAAATTCACCCCGAAGTCATCGACAGTCTGGAAAAATTATAGTAAGATTAGCTATGCGAAAGTCAAACTAACGAGCGCCGGGGGTGTACTGCGTGGCGTGGGCGTGACAATAGTTACTCGAGTGTGGCTAAGTTGTACGTGCTTGAGGTTTGTGGGCACATGCAGGAATAAACCTGATCTCAGGAAGGCATATAAGCTTCCCCTAACTAAAAGGGGAAAAGGGGATCTCTGTACGTGCTCCAGCGGCAGCCATTATGTGACCGTTAGGTGCTGCTCAGCTCCCACCAAGCGTAGGCAGAAGGGGAAAGGTGTACCCGAAGCGGCCTATGAAGTGTTGTCATTAGGTGAGGGATTCGCAGTGCACTTAGGTTATACTGTTCGCCTCGCCGATAAGCTGTGCAGTATCACGTTGCATAATTGGCGTTCCGGAGCCTTATTGGGGAAGACGTGTATCAACCCTCCACAGAAAGGCTACGCACCCTACTTGCTGCGCAAAAACGCCAGTGGAGCAGCAGTTGACAACACGGACGGACAGCCTGCGCTGCAGAAATTCCGTTCGTGTAGCGCACTCAACAGAGCAGGCAATACGGCCTACAGTCATGGAATCTGAGCACTACCCTAATGGCAGATGAAATGGTCCCTGCAGCACGTACAGAGACGCTTTCTACTCAGAACTAAGGCGATTCCTGAGCCCAAACACAGCTCAGGTCTAACTTCCAATGCACGCTTCTGTGCTCGAACTTCGCGTGGTTGATTTGCGGCGGTTCCATGCAGCAGTTGAGTTTCATCGAATGAGGGCGCTCAGCATCTTCCTCCGTTCAGATAGAAGCAAGCTCGCATTCTTCTGGGAGCATTCCACTGCACGGAACTGCTTGTGCTGATGTTCACTCATTCAACGAGTGGCTAATTTGCATGGTGGCCAGCGCCTAGTTCCTAACGCTACACCACAATAGTTCCACGTACCCCTATTTCGGCGTACGTTCATTTGCTCTCACTGAATCAAGTGCTAATAAACGGCCCCCAAGAAGACTAGTTGCTGAGACGCAGCTAATAATCTATTGCAAATTTTCATGGTGACTACAGACCACCTGCTAGCAGCTTACAGGCGGAATCACTCGAAGTGAGCATTGCTACGTACGTTGTCTACGACAGATTTGTGATTTTTCGAAGCACGCCGCTTATCAACGTGCAGCGCCGCCTTCATGAATGGAGCGCTTTCGCTTTTTCGGCATGCCATGTTGTGTGCGCCTGTGAACCTGGGAATCTGAGGCCCTGCACCTCAACTGCTCATCATATGAGCTCGTTGAGAGCACGCAGGGCTCACCCGCAGCTTCAACAGGACGTCGGCTAATTTCTGTCTCATCATCAGTTGCCGCTTCAGAATCAATGGAATTATCACATTCGCTGCCCTGCTCCTCACCGGAACTGTTGAGATCTGAGCTGCTACCACATTCGTGTTTTGTGTGTGCGCTGCCTTTCGTAGCCGTACATCGCTTGACTCCTCCAGCCCCTACTCCGCCTCCAGACAAAAGACACGTAAGCTTTTGCTTCAGAAAAACCTGCATCAAAAAGCAACTACACTGTTCATGCACAGACTTAGCTTTAGACTTCTATGTACATCAACCACACATGAGCCAGCCAAACAAATCAAAATCCTCACCTTTTCGCGTAGCTTCCGGGACTTTGCATCAAACACGTATGCATAGCGCCCCAAGCCCACAGCCACAAGAAACTCCCCAGCTGGATCCAGTCCTAATCCTGTAAGGCAGAAAAAACATGCTA